CGTCAAAAAATGCACACGCTAGAGCAATTTAAGTGAAGCGTCACGGTACGCGGTGCGCGGTGAAAACGGCGGAATACGGGCAATTAACGTGCTACGCAAGTCATTCGCGCGCTATATCTCGACACATTCTCGTCCGATTTTCATTATTTTGGGCTTGTTTAGAGGCTATGTTGAAAGTTAACTAGTGTAACGGATATACTTGCAGTTTTCCTCCGAATTTTCCCGGTACTTTTCAAAAGAATAGAAAATGTTCAAAGTTCCAAAATTTACAACAACGAATAATTTTCAATCGGGTGGAGAAACAAACCTCCTCTCGTATTTTGTAGAAAGATCATTCTCTGATATTTAAAATGATACCGTAACCATTTTTGTGCGATGATAAATAAATCCATGAGCTCAATTTTAAGCGCACCCCCGTGGCAAGCACTTTCCGTTGGTAGGCGTTTCGACCCGATTCATCGCCGCGCTGCGCCATATGCAACCTAAGTCGACGCGACCTTGCGTGATTTCCCGGGTTGTAAGACAGATTTTCGATAAATCGCCATGTGTAGAGGGTTATCTCCCTTCCCACAAAACTTAATTTGTTTATCAGGATGAATTTCCATCGGTATAGTCGGTATATACGGAGGGAAAAAGGGACAGAAATTCATACAAATCAACATGAAAGAGAATTCTCTTTTGGCCGTGGAGTATTTGTCAAAGAGGAGTAAATAAATAGAACATTTTTAATCGAAGAATGCGAAACCAGTTTAAGCTGAGAATACGTAGAACACTGTTATTATTGTGCGGAATCAACAAAAATTTTCCTCACGGAAACCTCGAAATTTGCCCGAGTATAGCTGAAATTTCAAAAAATTTCAGGGAGAGGCCTTTTGAACTGTAGGATGAAGGAGGGGGGAGGGGTTTCAACACTCCCATGATTTTCCGGTGGTAGGGGGCTCGAGATAACCTGGCTTTGCCCATGCTGATGGTATTTTCTTTCAGTTTATTATTCTATTTTTGTGGAAGTTTGAAGAATCATTCAGCATGACTATCATCACAATTTTACACTCAGAACCTAATGTTTGTTTTCTTTTTCTATTTCTTAATCCAAAATTTCAGCACGTAGCGGTCCTGTTGTAGGGCGGGAAGGTTCCCTGGTGTTCTTTCCTTTGCAGAGATATGATTCCTTTTGCTACCCACGAGTATTTTAATTTGGCCATTTCCAAGAGGCAGGCAATGCCAGAGGCAGATAAATTGCTTCACCAACATCTTCCTCCATTTCCTGACATCCATTACTTTCAAATATCTTACTTCGGAAACAGATTTAAACAGTTCTTGTTTGTCAAATTAAAACAATTCGCTAAGGGTGGGGGGGGGACTAACGTGGACATGCGATTTTTCAATCCAAATTCATTACCATGTGGAGTGCAAATCATATCTTAATGATTTTTTCTGAAAAGTTTTGTATCTCAAACAAATGTTTCGCCTACCAACGGAAAGTGCTTGCCACGGGGGTGCGCTTAAAATTGAGCTCATGGATTTATTTATCATCGCACAAAAATGGTTACGGTATTATTTTAAATATCAGAGAATGATCTTTCTACAAAATACGAGAGGAGGTTTGTTTCTCCACCCGATTGAAAATTATTCGTTGTTGTAAATTTTGGAACTTTGAACATTTTCTGTTCTTTTGAAAAGTACCGGGAAAATTCGGAGGAAAACTGCAAGTATATCCGTTACACTAGTTAACTTTCAACATAGCCTCTAAACAAGCCCAAAATAATGAAAATCGGACGAGAATGTGTCGAGATATAGCGCGCGAATGACTTGCGTAGCACGTTAATTGCCCGTATTCCGCCGTTTTCACCGCGCACCGCGTACCGTGACGCTTCAATTAAATTGCTCTAGCGTGTGCATTTTTTGACGGCACAAAAATTGTTTTGGTATCAAATTAAATGTGAGATAATTTCCCATCGCCGTTACCTAAGGCAAAAAATCCATTTTCTCGCGTGTTAAATAATTAAACGCTCTTGAAAATTGAGTAAAATTTCAAAATTTTCCTATTGACCATTCATGTGTGCTTTAGGCGAGAAAATTTATGAGATAGACTTCTGTAGGAGCATTTAAGCTTCCAAACGAGACCACGAAAACAAAAATCGGACACGTAGTTTCCGAGATATAGCGCGCTGAAAAACGCTTGGCGACCATCTTTAACGGCCGCCATCTTGGTTCCTGCACGGACCCCAGAGTGGTTCCCCTTCTAAAAGGGCTTCTTATGACCATAAGAATGATCCCTAAAAGCGGCAATTTCCAATCAAAAAGTGTTGGGTTTTGGCCATTATTCGATCGTACCCTTCGTACTAGTATCAGCTCCTCCTGCAGGAAACTGTAGATTCCGACAAACATGGCCGCCTAGCGAAATTTAGTCGTTTACATAACTGACACAGTGTAACTGACAACTGATATTGTGAAATAAAAGATGATAGAGTAGAAGGTAGAATTAATGCAGCATTATAAGTTTTTTAAAAGGGGACTTTTTTAAAGTTTGATTAATGTTAAATTAAGGATTTAGGGGACTGAGGCATTAGAGGTACACACCTCCAAATCACTAGTTTTCCTCAAAAATAAAGTTTTTCTAGTAAATAAATACAACTTACCAGCGGGGCGATTACTAAAATGATATCAACTCTATGTCGTCGCTTTGTCCTGCCGTGCCATCGACTGAGAGCCACTTAGTCGATGGCGCGACACGACAAAGCAGCGACATAGAGTCGATATCATTTCAATAATCGCCCCGCAGTACCTGTTTGCTTGAGTAGGCTTCAGCAAACAATTTGATGACATTTTCGAAATTCCTGACACTAACTAGCGAAATGAATGCTACAGCCAAATTGTGTTGCCAAATGTGGTGACACATTTTTCTAATGACTTATTTCGCTTAAAAATCATCATTTTAGTTCAATATTGCAATTTTCGAGAACATTGTGAACTGATTTCGGAAAATTCATAATCATAACGAATTTATAGCTGAAAATTACTCATTTCCTTCAAAATCGTTGTTGACGACGCATAACCGACCGGACATTTTTGGTCTTTAAATCTTATATCTTTGAATAAAACAGTAATTTGTCAAGTTTTTTAGCATGAACACGTTCGGGGTCTTCATTTTTTTCAATGCATACCCTACGTTTTTAATAGGTTTTTAACAGGATCAGAGCTTAATTTTAAATGAGCTGAAAATAGAAATACCGAGCATTGACAGAGGTGCTTCGCTACAGCTTGGGTAAGTTTGCAGTTCATCAAGTTTCCAGTGTGGTCAGCGATATGCATTCTAATGTCAAAAACAGTCACAGTGGATGGCAGTTCAGTTCCTGCTCCACTTGGGCAATTGCAATTCTTGCAAGTGTCATCTTCATTCACACTCCAATTGCAATATTCACTGAAAATTTTAGTAAAAAACAAATTACATACTGTATCAAATAAACCAGGTGTTCCTGCTTTAGAATCAGAAGTTAAAATACTGCAGAAGGAATACATTTGTTTCAGTTATATCTGCCACAATACCTACTGATCAGGTTTCGATTGTAAGTTAGCTCATCATGTCCAACTATCCATAAAGAGGTGCATTTGGGCAATTAGCATATTTTAATTTCACTACTCTGAAAAGTTTAATCGAAGAAAAAAAGTTGAAGTTCAATCATTAATTGAGATGTAAAACAAAAGAACGGAAAACAACTTTCAATTCAAAATATCTAAGCAACCATTGATTTTTTTTTTTTTCTTATGCTTTAATGACTCATAACCCTGTGGGGCCTACAGCCAACTGTAGACAAATTGAAATGATATAGAGTGGTTTATGTGATAGATGTGGTATGATTTAGATTGAGGAATGGGTTGGAGAGAGAAAAAGGGATTCTCGGAAATTTTGGAGGAGCTAAACTATCACCATCTTCACACCTTAAGGGTAATAATTGATAATGCAGGTATTACCACTGTCTGACGACCGTTGGAGCCGAACACCCATCGAGATCAAAGTGATAAATCACTGCATAGACTAGAGCGGTAAACGTTCGAGTTCCTTCCTTTTTGACTTTTTCCCTCACAGCTCGGGAGGACATAACAGTGTTGACAGTTTTGGCTAAAAAATAAAAGATGAATGTTTTTCTTCCGTTCACACTTGTAAAAAAAAAAAAACAAAAAAAAAGGTGGCAAGATTTGGCCAGGCTTTAAAACTTTAAGCCAGTCACAGCAGCGAGCGCGTATACTCGACGTGCCACTGTTGTCCTTTTCGTTTCTTGGTATGATCGCCCGGCTTGAATTTTACTTAAACATTTGTGATTGTGATTGTGATTGTCCGGTAAGAGGTTAAGCCACCCTTAGGTGGAGTGTGACTTATTACATATAGAGCCGACATGGCAATACAGTACACCTAGTCGTCGCGGTTTGTAGTATTGGCATCCCCAATAGGTACCTATGTTGCACCTATTTTTTTAATTAATTTTTTAATAGTGTGCGTTATTCTAAGCTTAATGAATTTATGCTGGCATTTTTGGACCCCCAAACACCCCAGAAAAGCTCCTAATAATTAAAAAATTCTTGTCGGGAAAATTTAAAACTAGGAACGGCAGGAGAGTAGCCGTTGAGTGACGCCACAACTTTTACTCTACGTTTGTTTATTATATGAATACATGAGTTTCCCCAAAAGGAATACAGGCAAATTTTCAGATAGAATTCTCGGACTATTAAAGGACGCATTCATCAAATTTGTTTGCGATGGTATGCTCTTCATACTTTCAAGGTGATAAGAACATCTAGAGAAACTTACAAATCTCATGAGGTGATCTAAATATTTCCGATACATCAAAGCATGTCACGAAAGTAAGGTTATGTTTACAATCTTATCTGGGATATATATGTCTTATTTCCAAGGTAGAACTCTCATCTAATGTAGCTTTAGTTTCCTTAGTATCAGAAACTGCCGTAGCATCGTGTAGCTTTAAGCTGCATCTAATTTGTTGGATACTGGATGCTTAGGTTCTACTTTTTTGCATAAAATGTGTCTCCCTCAGTTGCGCTAGCTATGGGATCACTGTAATCTCATCAGAACATTTTTACTTGTTTAAATACGTCTGCTTGTAAGTTAATTAGTTGAAAAGCGATCAATTTTATGTTCGGTAAGATACTCTGCCAATCATGTACCAGCTAAAAACTGTTGGTACTTTATTTTTATCACTCGACCCACGGTGCGCCTGAACTCACTTTAAATGCGACTTTGTTGCACATCAAAAATTCAAGTTGGAGGTTGTAGTGGGGTACTCCCTGATGGGTTTTTGGGCAATTTCGAAATAGGTTGTCGGAGCTCCTCGAAAAATAATCGCATTTTTGTGGTTTTTTAGGGGTAAAATAGCAAAATTGGCCTCGGGGCGACAAATTAAACCCCCTCTCCCTCATCCTTGCCTTGACCGATCTGAATTTTTAGTATGTTTTTACCTGGTATAAGATGGAACTTTTCTGAAATTTTCATGCCCATACAAATTTTTTTGCTCCCGCGGCAGCGTTGCCAAGTTGCAGACTCCAAAATATCGAATTTAATGATAAAATGAAGGTTTCGGAGTGTGATTTCCATTCAAAATCAAAAATTCTAATTGTAAGGTGTAGTGGGGTACTGCTTTTTGGGGTTTTGGCCAATTTCGAAGTGAGTGTTTGTGATTTTTGAAAAATAATCGAATTTTTGCGGTTTTTTAAAGGTAAAATAGCACACTGAGCACGGGGCGGCAAGTTAAACCTTTTCTCTCTCATCCTTGCCGTGACCGATCTGAACTTTTAGTATGTATTAACCTGGTATAAGATGTGACTTTTCTGAAATTTTCATACCCATACAAAATTTTTTGCCCCCCGCGGCAGCGTTGCCAAGTTGCGGACTCAAAAATATCGAATTTGATGATAAAATGAAGGTTTCGAGGTGTGATTTCCTCCAAAATTTCACGAAAAATGTGCAATCTGAGAGTTTTCGATAAGAAAAGGCATATTTGAACAATTTAGAGTTGCAGCGTTGCCAGCTTTCGATTTAAAATTCGTAAAAATGACCCAAATCGCGTTGCAACCTCAAGCGCTGGATTTTTATTTCGTTCAGAATTGGTTATTACGGTTCTTCTGTACTCTATGCATTTAGGTACCATGAAAATTATGCCATTACTTACTTGATGGGTGCAGCTAACTCAAAAAGAGAGGCCGGATAAAGCGATGAGTCGGGGGAAAACGAGCGGTTTAATACAGTCGCTGTTGGTATGTATTTATGGTATTTTGATAATTACATAAAACTAATTACGCAAAGAATACACTATAAATAAACTATACAGTTATGATATCGAGGGCTAATACTTAAGTTAGTTCTCATCATATTTCTAAAACTTCTAGTAAAAGTTAGCTGTTGCAGTAAGCAGACTACCGATTAGGAATAGGTACCTCAGTCACTCATACATCACATGTACTAAAATATAGGTAACCAAGGTTGATTAAAAGGAGGTTAATACATCCGGCCATGTTGATGACGCACTAGTGGGACCTCGATCTGGCTCGCAGTTCAAACTGCTTGTTTTGATATGCTACTTATTGCTACTTGTGGTGTTTTAGAGCCCCCGTCCACTATCATTTTCTCGGAATCGGCCGCGAATTGAGCTTCGGACGGAAATTTCCAGGGGACAATTAACCCCACAGAATTGGATGAAAATATTTTTAACCCCCCGAAACCCCAATTTAGGGGGGTGTTAGGTTAGATGCAAACCTGGGAGTATTGTCGATTTTAGCGCCTGGGTGCAAACCTCTATCATAGAATTTATTCTATGCCTCTATGATGGTGCATAAGGAGATTATACCCATTGTAAGGAGAAACTGAATTGTTTATCTTTTACTCACGGTCAATTGGGAATGGAATATTTTCATCCTTTGAAGCTAGGGCAGTTGAGTAGGCCCACGTGGCCAATTCTTGTGCTTGTTCTGTGATCGGATTGTCGATGATGATAGAACGGTAACCATAAGATAATGCATACTTGCTCTTGTATTTGATCCACTCCAACTTGAAATCCGCTAAAAATAATGCTACGGAAAACACCGAAAATCAATATTTATAAGATGGCTCATTCCAATCATGAATATTTCATTTTTCAAGAACGTAGCAACTTTGACACAAATATATGTCCGGTAAAAATCATTCTGGGAGGATTGAGCCTACCACATAATCACGTCATGAATTGAATTTTTCCTAAGTTTAGAGGCCACGAAGTCACTCTTGCGTGCCACCCTGAAACTTTCAGGGTATCTTCTAGGGTCCCTAGAAGACTCCGTGTTTTTTGACTCCGAATTGGAATTGCTTCAGAAAAAAATTGCAATTAAAATTAAAAATAACTATGCTTACAAATATTCCGCAAGAAAAAAAGCACGAATCGAAAAAGTCCAGCAATAACTTATGGCGTTGCTTTTCCCTACAAAATGCAAATTGATAGACTTGATTTTCGAAAGTAAGGGGCTGGAGACATGAGGCCCTCTTGGTCCAAAAAAGATGGGTATTAGTTTCCTAGTAGTCTAGGGGCCACAAAATCACCCTTCTATGAAGTCCTGAATGAAACTTTCAGGGTATTTTCTAGGGTCCCTGGAACGCCTTTTTCCAGCTATCAAAATGTCAGGATCCCGAGACAACATATTCAAATGGCCGCCATGCCCAAAATCGAAGGATCCAGAGGTGCTCTCAAAAATCGATGATTTACTAGGTAATTCTCACAGTTACGCAAAATCGTCCAAGGACCATAAATGCTCTACACAATATTTTGCACAGGGTTGCATCAAGTTTGGACCTGTAAGCTCCTTTATTAGGCAAAAAATTTACTTTTCCCCCAGAAATTCTGAAATTTTAAAAAAAAACATTTGAAAAATTCTCATGAGCATTGCTTTAACCCCAGTGACTCTAGAGCTTCTAGTGGGCGCCAAAAAACTTCTCTATACATTCTACTTCCATGATCTGTCGAGTTCAAACCTGCAAAGTCTTGCCTCTCCGGTTAATTTAGTGAGAAATTTTATTTTTTGCAATTTCCAGTTTAATGACAATTTCAAAAGAACTTATGTTCAAGTTCCAGTTCGTGGAGAAACTGTGATAGCTGCCTCAGCCCCGTCGTTTTATTTTCTTTAATACAGAAATATCGACCATCGAGACCAAAAATCGAGATATCGACCAAAATGACCCTTTCAGAATAAAAAATAACTATCTGTTGGAAGTATGCTGTGTAAAGTTACTGTCCTGTCTTTTTGGACGTAGGCCAATCTCCGAGTTCAGAAATCACTCTCCGAACAACAAAAATTGACGGCGTTTTCGAATTCTGCGACGCAGAAAACCTGACCATTGATACTTTACTATGGACCTTAAGTTGCACAATACGATCATTCTATTCTGATTTTGGTCATTTTGGCCGCGATATCGGATTGAGCCTTATCCTGATGTTGAGGTTCCTTTTTGATCACGAAGTTGAATTTTACCATCAAAAATACATTATAATCTACACCTTACGCAGTACATTTCCGACAGAAAGTTATCTTTTATGCTGAAAGAGTCTTCTTGCCGCCATTTTATACTTAGGCATAACCCTGATGCCGATGTTAATATCTGAACGTAGATTCGGAGTCTACAACAGAAACACATAGGAACCTATACTTAACGCGGCGTATTTGCAACAGAAAGGTTTTTATTAATTCTGAAAGGGTCATTTTGGCCGCCATATTGGACTTTTGCATAACTTTCATGTTGAGGTTTATTTCTGAACGCAGAATCCGAGTGTACGGCCAGAAAGACACAGCAGTCAACGCCTTACACTGCATACTTCCGACAGAAAGTTATTTTCAATTCTGAAAGGGTCATTTTGGCCGCCATCTTGGATTTTGGGGGGAGTTTTATTCAAGGGGTGTACGCAAAATTGGTGGACCCCTCCCCTATGGATTTTGACCAATTTTCAATATGTCATTCCTCATTATAGGGTACGCCTTTTCCCGAAATCACAAGGCCTGGAAGGAATTTCTTTCCGTGCAGCAGCGCTGCAGAGTTGAAAACCATTGTGTTCCATATCTTTCGAACAGAAAAAGATATTGAGGTTCGGTTCGTGCTAAAATTCTTCAAAAATTGCGTTCTTTCCAGATATGCCGTCAATTTGATCGTTTAGGTAATTCCAGATTGCAATGATACCATTTTTCTCACTTTTTTAGGGGCCAATTTTTTTTCAACCCTAGTACATCGTCAAATGCCGGATTCTCGATTCGAAGAAAAAGCTGTTCATTTTATTGGTCGTACTTTTTCGTACACTTTGATATAGGTAATCTACCTCCCAGGGAAACGATTGGTACGCGAGATATGAGCTATCTTTACGTTTTGCGCGCGCCGACCGGAATCCGAGCGCTCGGAGTCGTCTGCACACCCCTTCCCTTGCCACTAACAAGCTTTACACGGTCATCCTTATGTATTAATTGGCGTACTTTCCATTTTTGACCTTTTGAAAGGCCTCTGATGAATTTTTAGGGGTATCATGATCCAATGTTGCCATTTATGACCCATTTCTAGTGTTCTTTCAATTTTACTTAAATTAAAACTTAATTTAAACTGGAAACTGTACTTTTCTTCTAAGGATCGTAGAAAAATTAATAAAAGTGTAAGTGTGAATTTTTCCTACATTGCCAAATTTTCGAGTAAATCGTTTCATAGAGCTAAAAACGGCAAAAATTGTATATGTCACTACTCTTAAGGTTCAACAAAAAGAGGTAAAACTAGACGTAAGTAACGGCTCTTACCCATCCATACAACAGGTAAAAAAAGCATAGTTGTACCTGGATTCCCCCAATGCGAAAAATTACCGAGATGTCAAGTTTTGCAGCCTTTTTATATTTAAGTTGGCTCTTTTAAATGTTATTTGACCTGAAACTCTTTAGGGATGCGTCAAATGTATTTTCTTCCCTATATTTCCAATTTACCCTTAAAAATGGTTTCCGAATAAATATATGGGGCCTAGGGGACCATGTTTGCCATTTGGGCCAGTTTATACGGGTTTTTTCAATTTTCAAACGTGTTAAACTCATTTTAACCTAAAAACCAGGTACATTTTAGGAAAAAAATTAAAAAATTGCATCAATATAGTTATTTGAAACTTTCTCATACGTCGCCAAATTTTCGAGAAAAATCGACCGAAAGAGTCAAAAATTGCATTAATTATCACGAAAGTGACACGTATCGTAAATTTCCATGTTATAAATGTTATTTGTAGTGAAACAAAACTTAAAGATCAGATTTTTCTCGTGAGAGTCCTCATTTATTTCCTAAAACCTTTGACGTGATAATTAATCCAATTATTTGCTCTTTCGAACGATTTACTCAAAAATTTGGCAACGTAGGAAAAATTCACACTTACACTTTTATTAATTTTTCTACGATCCTTAAAAGAAAAGTACCGTTTCCAGTTTAAATTAAGTTTTACTTAAGTAAAATTGAAAGAACACTAGACAAGCAGTGAACTCCACACAATGTGTTGATAAGGCGCGTCATTAACTCGCACATGTCAACCCCTTTAGTTTTCATTTACAGAGATTTCAAAATAGGCAAGTAGCACAACAAGAGAATTCATACTGTCGATGTCGAAAAAATTCTGTCGAACTCCTAGAAGATAAAGTCGATTTAAAGGTATTTTGGGGCTAAAATACCCAAATCACCGGTAGTATAAATCCCGTTCTATTATTGAAAAGAAATTGACTCGATATAAATGCAATTGCTTTAAATATGTCTTGATTTTGTTACTTTAAACGTCTTTCCATGGAAAGAAGTTCAAACATGTCTATGCTTTATTCATTCATGAATTGAAAGTAAGAAATCTACATCCCGAAAATCTACCGATTTGCCGTAATATATCGCAGAAACTTGATGTACCAGGTCCATGTACCCACTCGTTGAATTTACCTACAAATCAATTTCGAGAGTGCACATATGTAAAAGTCAATATGTTATAGTCATTTTGGGTGCCGTTATTGTTCATGAAACAATTATAAGAAATTTCAATCCAGAGGAACCATCAATTTTCCATATAAAATCGAAAAATTCAAAATATGTCCACACCCCCAACGTGAAAATTAGATTCTACGTGTGAAACTGCTTATGCATTGATATGCTGAACAGAATCCATGTCTATCTCAAAATTTTTCTCAGAGCAGGTTTGTATTATTATCAGCTTCCCTTTAAACCCCGGTTCGATGGCTGAATCGGCTGCCCAAAAAGCAAGCCATTTTTGAAGGGTTCTATGAGAAATTCAAGATATTATCGGCTCTCAGGAAATCACCTCATGGCTAAAACTGGTGGTATAAATATTTGAGTGCTTAAAATAATCGTATTTAAGAAACTAAGGCATTAAACTATGGAGTCAATTTCTTTTTAATAATATAACGGGATTTACTACCAGTGATTTAGCTATTATAGCCCCAGAATACTTTTAAAGCGCCTTTACGTTCCCGAATCTCGACGGATTTTTTTTTTTGCTTAAACGACGCAAGAGACACCGTATTTAAAAATATAAAAAAAATTCGATTTGGATAAATAAAACATGTTTAACTCGTTGAGGCACACTGTGTATTGTATGGAGTACTGTTGCTATTCGACCCTTGTCTTCAGGTTAAAATTCTTACAAGGAAGCCCCTTGCAAGAGGCGAATTTTTTTTAATTACTCCCAATTTTTTCTCCGTTATATAATGGAATTGCTTGTCAAATTCTGAGGTCAATTTTATCTAATTGTAATTGATACATTTCTTTTTTTCCCCTTCATTTTATTTTTTGTTTGGAGAATTCGAGGTTTTGTTGATTTCTTCACATTTCGAATACTGTAACTTCTCTTCTATTCGGCCGATTTTTATGAATGAGACCTCTTTTAATTCGTGTTTTAACAGAGAGTAAGGAAAAAATTGCTAAGTACACGCGAAACAATTTTATTTGAAAATTGGACGAATCCTAGCGTGACGGTGAAATGGTTAATGAAGCGTAATAAGTAGGGTCGGGTTCTCGGCGCGCGGCGGCCGCCTTTTACCCGCAGGCCATTGTCGCCGACGCAGGGATCAGGCGCGCGGGGAAGAGAGTGGTAGGTTGACTTTTTTTAATTGCAAGTAGCTTCCTGTATGAGCCACGTTTAGCAAATGGTCTAATGAGTCTCGAGGCTCATCACAGATGGCACTTACGGCTGCCTGGCTATCAGAGCAGTGGTACCAAATTTGGAAAAGCATAACAGGGGTGTGGAGATCTGTCAAAGCAACGTTTTGAACAAAACGGAGTGAGTGAAATTCTCATTCGAAGAGTGCCGAACTGGTCAGTCATCCTCGAATCAGTTCGCTTGCTTCTGCTTATGTATGCATATTTTAAATCAGCGCGGCGCATTCTTAGGCTTTTTTTTTTAAAAAAACCAAGTAACGTAGACTTTTGGTATTCACTGCACATAAACTAGAACGCCCCAGAATGAGAAACAACTTTATATCATAATTATTGACCGATAAATAAACTTTTTACACGCTTTGGAAAATCTCAGAGGTTCGCGGTAGTCACTTTTCGGTAAGGAACTAAGGGACTCGGTTATTGTATGGGGGGGGGGGTCGAAACGATCGCAAAGGTGGTATACTACGTATACGCGCCAAAAAGGGTCATAAATGGCAACAAAGGATCGTGATACCCCTAAAAATTCATCGGAAGCCTTTTAAAAGGTCAGAAATGGAAAGTACGCCAAAAAATACATAAGGACGACCGTGTAAAGCTTGTTAGTGGCAAGGGAAGGGGTGTGCAGACGACTACGAGCACTGTCTCGGGATACTGACATTTTGATTGCAGGAAAAAGGCGTTCCAGGGACCCTAGAAAATACCCTGAAAGTTTCATTCAGCACAGTTTGTTTGAGTTAAAGTTGAATGAAATTTTCTTTCACTCACAAAGTCTTCTCGGATTCGAAAAATACAGTGAAAATGGAGTCTTCCTTGCTAAAAATGAAAATAGGTTGTTTGAGCTCCAGGAGGAATATATCGTATTTTGCGTTTTTTAAGGTTTATTGGTGGCTGATACGAAAATTGACTCAAAGTTTCTGTTTTAATTTCTAAACTAAGATAGCTATCGAAACGATCTTGGTCTCATTTTAAAGCTGATGTAATTTACCGTCAATTGAGTGATCCGCAAGGTAATTTGGTGAAAAATTGACAAAGTTATGATAGTTTGAATGAAGGGTATTCAAAATAAGCTTTCTCGTTTTCCTAACCGAGTAAGGCTCCATTTCTTCTTTTTTTCCCTTTAGGACTAATGACACTGGAGTCAATCTGTAAAAATTACAGTATTTGCAGTACTCTCAGGTCTCTAATGAGCATTAGATTTTTCAATTTGACCCATTAGTTCCAGAGAAAATCGTGTCCTAGCTTCACCTCATGAGATTACTTATCTGGATATGGGGTATTATTTCTGTTCTAGGGTCGCTCTAAGAAAATTGCTGAGCAAGCGCTGGTTTTTATGATCTAAGTCCAAGTAGCATTTTTCAATGTAAAAGTTGCAACAAGTTGAAACAATGTTGGTATTGGTTGAACTTTCGGTCAACTTTTGGTCGATAAGTGCCGATTTTTGGCGATCTGATCGGAAGTCAAAGTTGCAACCTGCTGAGATTGTAAAATTGCTGCACCAAAGTTGTTTAAAATCTAAAGATAGGCAACCAGCAATACTTTGAAGTTGAAACATGTTTCAACTTAATTGCAACTAGTTCCGCCAATGATAGCTCCTTCGGGGAGAGAGTAGGCAATCTGCACATCAATCTATTAGTTGCAAGAATCAAATGATTTTGTTGCAAGTTGTTGCAACCTCTGCTACTTGGGAGGATTGCGGAAGAGGTACAAGCAGCCTGTTGCTTATTATTTAAATTGTGCGCCAACAACAAGAGAAATGTTGTCTGTTCTCATCAAAGAAGTCATCACTAAGGTGGAAGAAGCAGGCTTCAAAATTGTGACCACAGTTTGCGATCTGGGCGGGAATAATGTAAAGGCGTTAGAGTTTCTTGGCTCAACTTGGTTGGGGCCATGGTTCGAATTCAATGGGCACAGGATATACACAATTTATGACATTTGCCACCTGCTGAAGTGTACAAGAAACAATTTCCGGAACAAAGGAATAACACTGAAGGTCAAAGTGAAAGGGAAACCTTATTCAGGTCAGTACACACCATGTTTAATTGCCCCCCCCCCCCCCCCCCCCNCCGTAACGAAGAATTTAATTCTTCGTTTTAAGTTTTTTGTAGACCTAAATAGCGACAAATGTGTCACGGCTTGGCGACACCGCGCCGCGACGCCCGGTGACGGTACATCGGCTGTTTGAATAATGAAAAGAAATGGAATACTGTTTCTCTTTTTTTTCTCTCTCGAAGATAACTGCGAAATCAGGGTTTTCCGTAGATTTACCCAAAACGAAAAATTGTAAAAAATTCTAAACTACTATAAACTTCTGTAGGAAATTTTCCTACGTTCGTTTCTGTAAATTTTATATTTTAATTAATTTTTCTTGTGACAAAAATTTTGCAACGAATATCGAGATCGTCTTCCAATAGCTTCAAATCAATCTGATAGCCCTCTAAGCTAAACATTGTTCATCACACTCTCCTTTCCGGAGGGTCACCTCTTCTCTCATCTTTTCTGAATCTTTCTCGACTTGAGGTGCACGTTAGTGAGTGGCATCTCGTCGAGCCCTCTGTCCATTCACTTTCCTCTTTTCTCTTCTTCTGTGCTGAGGTGCACGTTCGTGAGAAGCATCTCGCCCAGCTTCACTCCTCCTCTCCTCTTACATGTATCCTGGAATTTAAAGCCTTGAGGTGCACGTTAGTGAGTGGCTTTTCGGCTTCCCTTTTCTTTCATTTCCAGTTTTTTATATCGTAAATTATTAATATCATAATTTTGAGTGTAGTTTGAGTAGGATCCTCACAAATTTAGCTAACGAAAGGACATTCTTTTTGTAAATAAACCAAGAAATTTGAGACATAAGATTTTGATCATTCTTCCTCTCCTTCAAACTCATTTTTTTAAAATTGGCGCCCGAACCCAGGATCCCGGCGAGCTCATTCCGGCACCTCCAGTAACGTTGGCTTATCTTATACCAGAGGACGTATGTGCCTCTGATGTCCTGGATCTGCTTCGCAGAGAAGGGGGATTTGCCTCGTTACACCCCCCCCCTCTCCACCCTTAAAGTTTTGTGAACTTACTGGTCGTGGAAAGGAGAATGATGAGAAAAAGATGTGTAACATTAGGAGGCCCTTGTTTCTTGTCAATTATGAAGAACTTGAAATACGCAAGAAAATCTTAACAACAAATTCGATACATGCAATTTGGGAAATTATGAAAAAAAAAAAAAAAAACCCTTCGTAATCTTTTGTTTTTTTAACATTTTTTCTCCTTTTCTTTTGGTGTATTGTCAACAGAGACAAGTGGCAAAAAGAATAAAGAAAGGAAAGATTATTATATGAAAGAATGGAACTTAATTCGAATCATTTTCATATTGTCCGCTCGTATTAAGAAGGTATGTTCCTAGACAGCGCCTTGAATCATTTTTCATACATAAGCTTGTAAATATCTTTCCTTCAAATTCATTGCTTTAATCATGTAGAGGTCACCAACTTGTTGAGTCATGTCAACAATAAACAGATTGATATTGATAATAATGATACATGATTTAGTAACAAATAATTACATGATTTACTGAAGTCTGATGAAAGCTGGAGAACAGAGAAATTAGCTAACGGGCTGAACCTTTTTTTNTTTTTTTTTTTTTTTTTTTTTTTTTTTTTTTTTTTTTTTTTTTTTTTTTTTTTTTAACTGAAGGAGGGGTATCAATAAGGGCCTTTTTTGGCCCCCTCCTAGAATTCGGAAATTTTTGCGGGTTTTCCAAGTTGACTCAATGTAGTTTACGGAAATGATCATGATTTAGCCCATAGGCCACTGGATACGTGTTAAACAGTTGCCTAAACATAGGTCTGCAGGCGTATTTTAGCCAAAATTCATGTTTTTCTATGACTCTGAGGCTTTTTCGACACCGAGCGCATCGTCTAACTAAAACAAGCTTTTGATATGTTATCAAGGAGGCTTTGGGACACATTTGAACCCTGGTTTGGTTTTAGTTAGACGATGCCCTTATAGTTAAAAAAAACTTTTTACAAAAATCGACGTTTAAGGGACATCCGCAAAAATCATAGGGAAGACGTCTCTCCAACTGTATGCACGCTACGTATATTATCGAGGGCAGTTATCAAGCCTTGTTAAACCCTTACAAGGAGATTTTCTTTAATTGTAGCCAAAACAAAACCCCTAACGACGTAATTCCTAAAGATTTTTGCGGATGTTCCTTAAACGTCGATTTTTGAAAAAGTTTTTTTTAGCTATGAGCGCATCGTCTAACTGAAACCAAACCAGGATTAAAATGTGTCCTAAAGCCTCCTTGATAACATATCAAAAGCTCGTTTTAGTTGGACGATGCGCTCGGTGTCAAAAAAGCCTCGGAGTCATAGAAAAACACGAATTTTGGCTAAAATACGCCTGCAGACCTATGTTTAGGCAACTGTTTAACACGTATCCAGTGGCCTATGGGCTAAATCATGATCATTTCCGTAAACTACATTGAGTCAACTTGGAAAGCCCGCAAAAATTTCCGGATTCAAGGAGGGGACCAAAAAAGGCCCTTACCGATACCCCTCCTTTGTCACGGAGATGCAACAATCATAATTAAAAATTGGTCAGTTTTTCCCGTACTAAGTAGTGCATTTCTTTTATGTGTTTCAGGAACAGCAAAATGGGAGCACATTACCAAAGTTGTGCATGAGGATCGGAAACAGGGGTGGCAAGGTCTATGGCACATCAAAGATGAACATGTTGACCCAAAGGGAGCACAGAAAATGAAAGTAAACTTGGCTGCTCGAATATTCAGCAAGACTATGGCAAGCAACATAGCCGATCAACATGACTACAGTATGTTTATAATTTCATCACATTTTCATCTCCTATTGTTACGAGCAGTTCCCGCAGCAAAACTTTTCACAATCCATGAAACATAATACTCTCAAAAGTGCATTCGTGGAAGAAATTGATCAGCAGAAAACTGTCAAAATAATTCAATGGAGGATAAACCTAGCATGTGCAGCCCTTGCATCGTCAATTCTCTGTTAACTGATTGTTTGTAATAAACTCTCTTTAGGCATTTTGATGAAATATTCCAAAATGTCAAAATATTTTCCCTCTCTTTTCCATTCATCACGAAATTCCTTGAAGTTCGTTATCTTTTCGGAGACAAAGCTCCTGCAAAATTTTTGTCAACGCACAAATGCTGCCAACGTCCATAAAATGCAAGAGTAGTCCAGTCATTCTAGCTTTTTACCTCGGACAAATTAGCACAAACTTTTCCTTTGGTATATAGGGTCTCTAGGTACCTAATAAGACAGAAAAAAAAGTTTACCAAAAAATTCCACCGGGAAAGTGGTCAAATCGCAGTTTTTCAAAATGGCGGCTTGCGGCGATTTTCAAAGAGGACGTGCATACGGATTTTCATTTATAACTCAAAAATAATGCGTCAAACAAAAAAATTGCAAGAGATCAGATTTAAAGATCATAAAATTTTGATTAAGAATCATATACAAAACTTAGGCTTTTATTATTTTTTTTCTTTCCGAATTTTACTATTACTCTATATAAAGCTGCTGTTCCCACTCACTCTGCCCCCCCTAGATAAAAATTGGCCGAAGCGATTTCCTTTAAAATTGGTACACGCTTAGCTATTGTAACGAGGAGTTGATTAAAATTATTCCCGTTCAAATCCGCTGCTTAGGACGCCCGCAAGAGCGAAAAGTTGTTTCTCCATATAGCATTACATTGGAGATACGCGGTTGTTTACGCGCATCGCGCCGAACAGGTTCAATCCTGTTGCGTGACGTCACTGCCTTATAGACGAAATATAAGGTTTTAGGCGGTATTTTTCAACGGATTTTTGTGGAAATTGGTTAGCGGGGGTATTTTTCAACGGGGATCTCGAATTTTTCGTCGGATTTTCAAAATCTCAAAATCCAAGATGGCGGCCGTGGCCTAAAATGCTAAGTCGGCTCCTGTTTGATCGATTTTCGTGAAACTCGGTATCCACTGGTATTTTTCGACGAGAAACTCGAATTTTTGGTCGGATTTTCAAAATTTCCAAATCCAAGATGGCGGCCGTGGCCTAAAATGCTAAGTCGGCTCCTGTTATATCGATTTTCGTGAAACTTGGTATGCAGGGGTATTTTTCGACGAGAAACTCGAATTTTTGGTCGGATTTTCAAAATCTCAAAATCCAAGATGGCGGCAGTGGCCTAAAATGCTAAGTCGGCTCCTGTTCGCTCGATTCTCGTGAAACTCGGTATCCGGGGATATTTTTCAACGGAAAACTCGAATTTTTGGTCAGATTTTCAAAATCTCAAAATCCAAGATGGCGGCCGTGGCCTAAAATGCTAAGCCGGCTCCTGTTATATCGATTTACGTGAAACTTGGTCTCCGGCGGTATTTTTCAACGGGGACCTCGAATTTTTGGTCGGATTTTCAAAATTTCCAAATCCAAGATGGCGGCCGTGGCCTAAAATGCTAAGCCGGCTCCTGTTATATCGATTTTTGTGAAACTCGGTATTTAGGGGTATTTTTCGACGAGAAACTCGAATTTTTGGTCAGATTTTCAAAATCTCAAAATCCAAGATGGCGGCAGTGGCCTAAAATGCTAATTCGGCTCCTGTTTGATCGATTGTCGTGAAACTCGGTATCCAGGGGTATTTTTCGACGAGAAACTCGAATTTTTGGTCAGATTTTCAAAATCTCAAAATCCAAGATGGCGGCAGTGGCCTAAAATGCTAAGTCGGCTCCTGTTCGCTCGATTCTCGTGAAACTCGGTATCCGGGGATATTTTTCAACGGAAAACTCGAATTTTTGGTCAGATTTTCAAAATCTCAAAATCCAAGATGGCGGCCGTGGCCTAAAATGCTAAGCCGGCTCCTGTTATATCGATTTACGTGAAACTTGGTCTCCGACGGTATTTTTCAACGGGGACCTCGAATTTTTGGTCGGATTTTCAAAATCTCAAAATCCAAGATGGCGGCCGTGGCCTAAAATGCTAAGTCGGCTCCTGTTCGATCGATTGTCGTGAAACTCGGTAGCCAGGGGTATTTTTCAACGGAAAATTCGAATTTTTGGTCAGATTTTCAAAATTTCAAAATTCAAGATGGCGGCCGTGGCCTAAAATGCTAAGTTGGCTCCTGTTGGATCGATTTTTGTGAAACTCGGTATTAGGGGGTATATTTCGACGGGAAATTAGAACTTAAGGTCCGATTTTCTAAATTCAAAAATCCAAGATGACGAACGTGGTCTAAATTGCTATCTAGGCTTCCGATCCATCGATTTTTGTGAAATTCGGTATTAGGATGTGTATTTCGACGGAAAACTCGCATTTTCGGTCGGATTTTCATTATTTCCAAATCCAAGATGGCGGCCTCGCACGAAAACGCGGTCCGGACTCCTAGAACATCAATTTCTGTAAAACTTGGTGAAAAAGAAGATTAAGATAGATGTTATCTCCTCATCAATAATAAAAACTGTGCGGGGCGGTGGCGGCTCGCGGAGCGAGTCGCAAGTTCATCGCGAAGCGAGGAGGGGGTCCAGGGGCACTCCCCGGCTAGGCGTGACAGCTCGCAAGGCGAGCTAATCACGGCTAGTTATATATACAGGGTGATCCAAAAGTCCCTTCCACCCCCTCTAACTTTTTACCTAATTGAGGTACAGATTTGAAAATTGGGGGATATTCCTAGGTAAAAGGGAGCTACTTTTTGGCCCCCCTAAAATTTTCAGGGGGCCCCCCTTGGGGGGGCAACGGCCCCCAACTTTTAATTTTCAAATGGGAAGACCCCCTTTGTGATAGCTCGTTCGAAAGAGCATAAAAAAAGAAAACTTTTCGCGCAAACCCGAAGTCAATATCTCAAACCGTTTCAAAATGGCGGCCGGTTAAAGTTCAAAATGGCCGAAAATTCACACCGGTTATTTGTCGATGGATTTGCGCGAAAATCGGTATGTAGGGGTATTTTGACACGAGAAAAACGAATTTGACGTTAGATTTTCAAAAAAACCGAAATTTCCAAAATGGCCGCCGGTTAAAGTTCAAAATGACCAAAAACTGATTTTTTTAGAAATCTAAGTTCAAATTTGTTTATCTTATGCCAAAATACTCTAAAATTCCAAGTTTTAGGCAAATCCATCAGCAAAAAACCGAGGTGACAGTTTTTGGCCATTTTAAACTTTAACCGGCGGCCATTTTGGAAATTTCGGTTTTTTTGAGAATCTAACGTCAAATTCGTTTTTCTCGTGTCAAAATACCCCTACATACCAATTTTCGCGCAAATCCATCGACAAATAACCGGTGTGAATTTTCGGCCATTTTGAACTTTAACCGGCCGCCATTTTGAAACGGTTTGAGATATTGACTTCGGGTTTGCGCGAAAAGTTTTCTTTTTTTATGCTCTTTCGAACGAGCTATCACAAAGGGGGTCTTCCCTTTGAAAATTAAAAGTTGGGGGCCGTTGCCCCCCCAAGGGGGGCCCCCTGAAAATTTTAGGGGGGCCAAAAAGTAGCTCCCTTTTACCTAGGAATATCCCCCAATTTTCAAATCTGTACCTCAATTAGGTAAAAAGTTAGAGGGGGTGGAAGGGACTTTTGGATCACCCTGTATACTACATAAAACAACAACCGGCAAAATCTGCTGATAATTCACGATTTTTCGCGTTCTTGACCATTTTTAGGTCAAAATAATTAATTAAAGGTTAAAAACAACGACACCACTGAAAAGTACGCTAAATTTTACATAAGTATACCAATTCATTTTACCTTTTCATCTTTTATGACCTCATTGTGAGACGAATCATTCAAAAGCATGAAGCCAATATTTAACAACAAATTCAGCTGTTTTTTTCCGTTTCCAGCGCTTTCGACCGATTATTTTTCAACAAAAGTATAACTTATTCATACTTTTTTGAAAGGTTATAAAATTTGCAAGACAAATAACACACTGGTTTTCCTTTAAATTTTAAAACATGTACCTGAAAAGCGTATTTAAGGGAATTACGCTAAAAAATGATTTCTCTAGAAATTGTAGAATTTCAACGATTTTCGGCTTTTTGACAGCTGGAAACTAACGATACGATTCAACGATGGTAATAATTGTTTAGAGCATAAAATTTCCAAAAAATTGCATACCTGAAATTACTGTTTCGAATTTTTTAAAGAGAGTTAGATAAGGCGTTAAAGTTGTCTATTGGAAAACCCAGCTGCTCTGTTTAGAACCTTTTTCCTAACATATACCCAAAATGTTCAAGTTAAGTCATTTTTGTTTGAAGTAAATTTTGTGGTATCAATGTAATAGCGTATAAAAGTTAAAAAAGTGTTAATGAATAAATTTTTGAAGGTATTTAAGTATACTTAGAAGCCAATTTTTGGACGCTAAAAATTTGCAATTGTTCAATAACAAGGCTTTGTCTCATGTTTTTGTGGTTTTTCATGGCTGCAAACAATTTTTTCAATCAAACCATGGTACTCATCGAAAAGCTAGTAAAATTTTGTGTAAGAGGTATACTTTTATTTGTATTTTTGGCGTCTCTCGAGAAAATGCGGAGGCAATGTTAAAAAAAATTGCAATTTGTCCGAAAAAAATTTTCCCCCAGTTTTCCTAATTTTTTACGTGTTAAAAGGCGTTGAAGGAAAAAAACAAGGTGCGAAATGCAAAAGTTCTTGAAATTTCCCGTAACCTAGGGCTATTAAAACTTGCCGTAAAACCCTTTTAAGGGGTCTTAGCACTGAATTTTGGTTTAAAAAGAGTTAAGAAAAAAATGATGAAATTTAACTTTTTTGTTATTTTTGAGATTTTATTGCTTTAAAATGAACTTTAAAGTTAAAGTGAATGATGTAACTGAAAAGTACGTTAAGTTTTGGTCTAGAAAAGTATGTTCAACATCCTTTTAAGTAATTATATTTGCCGGTAGGATAATTTCTTCTGGGATCAAAAATGACACTTTTCTGAAAAAAGTCCGGCTTTAGCTCCATTTTCCTAATTTTTAAGCATTTTAAAAGTGTTTGATCAAGAAACCACTATAACCACGTGAAAGTACATAAAATTTACAATAAGAAAGGGTACCATGTAAAAATTTCCATATTTTTTGGGTTTGACACGGCTTTATTTAAAATTGTAAAAAATGGCAATATTTACAGAATGTTGAGTTTCTATGCAAAACACCATCCCTCAAAAGGTCATATCAATACCTACAGCAAATATTCCATCAATCGTGAGAAGTTATTTAAATAATTTCTGGAGAGCAAAAATTAATTAACGTAATATAAAAAAAATAATAGGAGGGGAAACTGACCCACCTCCTCCTCCCTGCTTTCTACAAAGAGCGCAAATGGATATATTACGACCGCCAGTACAGAAGTAACAGATACTTCACGCATACAAAAAGAAGACAAATTTCATCGTATTTAGGCATACAATCACGTAAAAATAAACGAATAGGACAGAGCTTGACGAAATCTGTACATTTAAGGGTTTTTTAAAAATATTGCCGAATGGGACATCTCACATATGAGGGAAGTTACAATGCGAGCACAGCCGCCGCCGCGAAGTGGTTTACGTGAGGGATTGGGCTGTGTAATGGCGGCAGCTCGGGGAGCGGGTCTTTTTGCGTCGGAGGAATCAATAGTAAAACTAATAATTATTATGATAAATTCAACACACCGTTGAAGGTTTGGAACTTTTGGGCGGCCAACTCTAGCGTAAGCGCGAACAAGGATTATAACGAAAGTACAGATGTCAGCGGGGGGAGGGTTGTCAACAGGGGAGAGGGGTATGCACCTATGCTTTACGTGACGTACCGCAGGCTCGTGTGAAATGGTGAAATCTAAGTAACTAAGAAGGAAAATAATAAAAACATTAAAATTTTACTGCCCTCGGCATCTTGTCAGCCGAATATGCGACATCATTTCGCACATTATTTAATATTAATTAGCTTTCAATAGACCGAGTAAAAAATTAGTACATATTTGATTTCATTACTCGTCTTTGTATTTCTTAATCTGTGTCACTTAAATATTCGACGATACTGAAAAAATTACGTTTTAACACTTATGCTCTCAATTAAACAGCTTAAAGGACGTGGTACATAAAAGCACCTCGTCGAGCTATTTCGAGAAAAACATGTTTAAAGTTGCTAACTATTATACACAGCCTTATGGCAGGAAGAGAGTTCAAACTCACATTTTGATGCTTAAGCATTGGATGCTTCCGGTGAATTTTTCACAGACTTCATTTTAAACCTAGAATTAGTTGGAACCACTAATGTGTCATTTTTTTCGAAATCTGCACTTATGTGCCTTGTCCTCCAAGCCCCTCAATTACTTTTTAACCCTGTCTTATTACCTTATACAGGGTGATCCAAAAGTCCCTTCCACCCCCTCTAACTTTTTACCTAATTGAGGTAAAGATTTGAAACTTGGGGGATATTCCTAGGTCAAAGGGAGCTACTTTTTGGCCCCCCTAAAATTTTCAGGGGGGCCCCCTTGGGGGGGCAACGGCCCCCAACTTTTAATTTTCAAATAGGAAGACCCCCTTTGTGATAGCTCGTTTGAAAGAGCATAAAAAAAGAAAACTTTTCGCGCAAACCCGAAGTCAATATCTCAAACCGTTTCAAAATGGCGGCCGGTTAAAGTTCAAAATGGCCGAAAATTCACACCTGTTATTTGTCGATGGATTTGCGCGAAAATCGGTTTGTAGGGGTATTTTGACACGAGAAAAACGAATTTGACATTAGATTTTTTTAAAAAAACCGAAATTTCCAAAATGGCCGCCGGTTAAAGTTCAAAATGACCAAAAATTGATTTTTTTTAGAAATCTAAGTTAAAATATGTTTATCTTATGCCAAAATACTCTCAAATTCCAAGTTTTAGGTAAATCCATCAGGAAAAACCCAAGGTGACAATTTTCGGCCATTTTAAACTTTAACCGGCGGCCATTTTGGAAATTATGTTTTTTTTGAAAATCTAACGTCAAATTCGTTTTTCTTGTGTCAAAATACCCCTACATACCGATTTTCGCGCAAATCCATCGACAAATAACCGGTGTGAATTTTCGGCCATTTTGAACTTTAACCGGCCGCCATTTTGAAACGGTTTGAGATAATGACTTCGGATTTGCGCGAAAAGTTTTCTTTTTTTATGCTCTTTCGAACGAGCTATCACAAAGGGGTTCTTCCCATTTGAAAATTAAAAGTTGGGGACCATTTCCCCCTAGGGGGGCCCCCTGAAAATCTTAGGGAGGCCAAAAAGTAGCTCCTTTTGACCTAGGATTATCCCCCAAGTTTCAAATCTTTACCTCAATTAGGTAAAAAGTTAGAGGGGGTGGAAGGGACTTTTGGATCACCCTGTACTCTAAGTTTTCAAACCAAAACCGACAAACTTTGGTCAAAATACTGGGTAATATTCAATGTCATGAAAATCAGCCGATAAACAGATATTTTAAAAATTAAGGCTGCCATCTTTTTTCCACTATCTTGAATTTTGATTCAGACTGAAAGTAACGTCAAATTCGAATTTCCTAGATCGATACACCGGGGTGCACCAAATTTCATGAAAATCTGCCGACAAATAGGTGTTTTACAGTTTTTTTCTTAGAATCTTTAGCTGCGATAGGCCAAACAATAAACGGATCAGGTATGCCCCCCCCCCCCCCCCCCGGTGCCCATCCCTCTAAGGTGCTTCTCCCCTTACTATGTACCATGACTAAATTAATAAGAGCTGGGGAAGGTTTGGGGACCATGAAATTCGGATTCCTTGGGGTTCAATTCCCTAATCAACCCCGCGGTCCCCGACTTCGTACGACCTAAACCAACCGAGAAAGAGGCCTGGTATAGGTGGTCTGGGACATCCTGTATGAAGAATGGAACCAGGAATGGGTTGCATGCACTTGGAAAGAAATTAAAATCCATTCTCCCCTGAATTCCAAAGAAACCCTGGTTCCACAAAACCCGTAGCAACAAAACGACCTGAAAAATCTAATTAGACTCCGAATTGGCCACAGCTTGTTCTCGTCACACCTATATAGATTGAAACTAGCCTCTAACAACCTTAGCAACTGCGGAGTAGAAGGAGATTTAAATCATATGATTTTTCAATGGAGCAACTTAGAAAATAGAAACCAGTTTCTAGAGATCCTAGCTAATTTCAATTTAGTCCCTCCCTTCAATGTCCAATGAATTCTTTATGATTCAACACCTTGAAATGTATAAAGCCATCATAAACTTCTTATTAATTAACAATATTTAGCTTTAAAAGTCATTTCGCACTTCTACAACCAGTTATTGTCATTTTAACAAACTAACTCTCCCCTACATTCAAACCCCCTACTCATTCTTTAAATTACCGTCCTCAATCTATAAATCTCCTACCCTCATTACCTACCTCGTTAGCCCCTTTGTATGCTTTCCATGGCTCAGTCTTTTTGGGTTAGGAAGTCCCCTTAGTGAGCCTTAAGTTGTGAGGATGGTGGTAGCTTACTGCCCCTTTCATTATCCGTTGCCTCTTGTTCTCATATACACAACTCATAATATAAAACCTAATTCGTTTCACTCATAACTAACCCTCAATCACTTCAACATGTCTATGGTTGGCTGTAGGCCCCAAAGGGATAAAAGCCAGTAAAGCAACAGTAGTAAAAAAATAATAAAAATAAAAAAAAATCCTTAGTTTGGGGGACCGATAGTATTATTTGTTCCGTACGGCTTCAATGGAAGTTACCAAATATTTATTTTCATCGAAAAATCATCACAAAACTGGGTAATAATCATAATTTGATTTACATCAATCAAACTACCCCTCTCACATTACCTATGAGTAGTTCAGTTTATTACTTAAAGTGAAAACTTTACTTAAGTGAAAACTTCTTTCCGTCTAAAAATACTCAGGCTTTTTTTGAGGTCATTGTATCTTAAGGTGATTCGATGGACGCCATATTTTGAGTCAGCACGGCCTGCGATATATCGCATCAATTGGGTCCATTTTTTCAGCTACTCGTCATTTTTCTGCAATTTTGAGATCGCAATTCTGTTGTCAGAAGACTAAAGCACTCACTTACCAATTTTAACAAAGAAATTCATCGTAATAAAGGTGTGGTTTTTTCAGAGAGAAAATATCGCATTCGAGTGCAGTTTCGATATCAGTATCGAATGCGATGTTTTCTCTCTGAAAAAACCACACCTTTATTACGTTGAATTTCTTTGTTAAAATTGGTAAGTGAATGCTTTAGTCTCCTGACAACAGAATTGCGATCTCAAAATTGGAGAAAAATGAGGAGTAGCTGAAAAAATGGAACCAATTGATGCGATATATCGCATGCCGTTCTGACACAAAATATGGCATCCATCTAATCACCTTAACTGACATTTGCTTCAAATTTAAATTTCTATAGCTCATTTTTTTTAGGAAGATTTGCTCTGACCAACCCTGTTTGCTAAACAAACATTGAAATGAACTGCTCTAAAAACTTTTAAAGCGATTTTCTCAAAGTCTAAAAACTTGACATCCGCTGTTCATATATAAATGGCTTCAAATGCAAATTTATTTATTCCTCTAAAACCAAACTAGGTCACAAACGTTACTTCTCGAGAAAATGGGAAGTTTTTTCCGTAAGAAATACTGATTCCCAATTTTTAACCCAAATTTATAAAATTTCACTCTCCTGCAAATTTTTTTCCAAGCACTAAGATACTTTTTCCCATGGACGGCTAAAAATGCAAAGAGAAATTAAAAATCAACTTGTTCTCTTACTTGTTCTGCAGGGTTTCCATGAGCCTGCACGGATGACCATTTCCAACTCCCAGATTGTCAGAGGCATTGAATTAAATGTTCTGTCCATTACTGATATTTCTCTCATTTCTTTTTCCTCTCCCTCTTTCATCTTAATTCGTTTCACTTCTCCAACCTGCAAAAATGGAAAAATGTTCCTGATAAATATATAAAACCTCATCAAGAGGTTTCGGATGAAAACTAAAAAAGAAAATAATTGAGAGTACAGTTTTAGTGAGTACTTTGCTCATTAATCACTTCTCTAAGCCAGCATTTTCACAGATTTATTGTGTATCTTGGGTAAAGGTTAAAGAAGCTGTTCAATTTCAGTTTGAAAAGTAACTGCTATAGAGAGGATACTTGTACTGCACTGCAGAGAGAAATTTGGCAACAGCTGCATTTATGTGATGTTTCCACCAAGCTTCTGAACGCAGTGAGTTTTAAATCATAACTTTCTACGGGGGAGTATTAAGAGAATCAAAGCAAAGTAGTGAATTTTTCAGCACTATAAATAAAATTTTATAAGAGAAAGGTTACTGCATTGCCAGATCGGTGTTCAAGGAAAGCTTTCTGTTCTTTCCTGGAGAAATATGAACTTTCCACACCCTTGGATTCCTAAGTTTCCTTGGAGGCTAACAAGGCTTGAGCGACAGATTCCGATGAGTGAAATTGAAAAACCTGGAATCGCTCTGAGCGATATCAGTATATGATATTTCCATTGAATTGCATGCAAAGACTTGACTGAAAATCAGATGCAGTGACAGTACAATGTATTCATCAGAAGACACAATTTTGAATGGTGAAAAATTCAGTTTTAAGCTCTGACTTTTTCAAAATTCGCAAACAGAGAATTTTAGTTTTAAAGAATATTGTGCCCAAAGAGTTCTGCGAACTTGATATTAAAAAATGACAGACTTCAGTCAGAGAAGAACCCGCTCGGAATCAATGCAATATTTTACTGACAGCATCAGCAGTGTCTCTCATAAAATTGTTAAAAATCCCTTCAGACCTTCTTTAAAACTCAGAAATGATTTTACCTCTGGAGAGATCCATAATTTTGCTGACTTACACTTATCTTATGCTCTTCTTAAAACAACCCATTCAACTAACACATGCTTACGAGCCAATTTAAATAATAGAAAAATCTAGACTTATAGACGCCGTGAAAACGGCCTATTTAACCCAGTTTAGATGAAAAGTTTACCTAATATGTAACAATAGGAGGGAACTCACAGATTTGACAACAACTAGAAAATTCAATGATCGGTTCTTGAGCATTTGACTGTTTTCATAAGCATCTCGCAAGGAGTAGAAATCTCCAGGACACTTAGTGGGGATATGAGCAAGAGGAAAGTACCGTGCACAATCTGTCTCATGCCTAGTTATCTTTGATTGTGTCTCATCACATGATAAAGTAAAAGAACTGAAACATTTAGCATGAAATTAAAGGCTACATTCATGGTGTGGACCTCTTGTAAAAACTTACAATAACACAGCAGCAATACTTGGAGCAAAAGAAATGTCTTGAAATTATAAGGGGTCTCTTCGATAATAGAATGATACAGCAATATTTGAGTACCATTCTGATCCTGATCAATGCCTTTATTCCTTTGCTGCTAAGCAATTGGGGACATGAATTATTTTGATGGCAGGACAAGTTTCGGTCGTTTGGCCTGATCGTTTTTTCTTTTTATTCAAAGTGGTTAATCGTCGGCACGGTACCGTCAAATAAAACGTCATTTGTCAGTACAGTGCCGTCAAATAAAACGTCATTCGTCCGTATGGTACCGTCAAAAAAAAGTCATTCGTCGAGGCCGTATCCCGAACCAGAAAATCTTCGAAGTACCACTAAGGCTTTACCAGGTGACTATTTACAACTAACCGAAAAAACTTTCTACCCCTGCAGTGACTTTACGTGATTACTTTCCCGCTAACTGAAAAACGTTTTATCAATAAGGTGACTTTAGTGGATGACTGTTGACCTCTAACTAATTTATTTATTCATTTATCACATAACGGGCTAAAGCCCCAACAAAATAGAACAATACATAAGATAGCTAAAAGCAAAGCTTAAATGAAGACAAACAAGATAACGACAAGTAAGAAGTAAAGAAAAAATAGAAAACAAAGAACCCTATAATACATTTTCATAGTATTTTAGCACTTCCCCTTTTAAAACATTTTTAAACTGAGAAAATACAAGAGAAGAGTTAGCGAGATGAGATGGTAACTTGTTCCAGGACCTTTTAATTCTGACCACTACAGAATTGAAGCGATATGATGTCCTGGAAGGATCATCATACAAAGGCCTGAAAACTCTTAAAGAATATTCTAACTCTCTCAAACTGAAAAAACTTAACAAAACAGGGGACTTAACATAACCATTTAAAATTTTAAACACAAAAATTAAATCATAAAGGAGGTGCTGCCATTCAATTGAAGGAACAATGAGCTCTAATGACAACCTGCAGTAGTCATGATCGAGGGTGCTCATAGGCCTCTTAAGCTTGAAGACAAAAAACATTAGACCTGATGTTGGATGGACTCGAGCATCTGCCACCCTTTCTGGGTAGATGGTGACAAAATGGGGGATGCATAATTGATAATTGGTAATACGAGTGACTTATATAGGTACAATACAGTATCTACGCTAAAGTCCATGGAGATCCGCCGAATAAAACCAAACGTTTTAAAACTTTTCAGGGTGATTGATGAGATATGATTATTAAATGAAAAATCAGAAGAAAAACTAACATCAAGATCTCTAACCGAGGACACAGAATTTAAATTTGAGCCATTAATGGAGTAGTCAAAAGGAACAGGTGAATGATGTTTAGAAAAATAAATGGCATTACATTTGGAGATGTTAAAGGGAAGGTCATTACCGATGGATCATTCTGAGAGAAAATCAAGATCCTGCTGGAGCAAAATAGATTCGTGGACATCATGGACAATAGCGTAGACTTTGAGGTCATCAGCGAAGAGTAATGCTTTAGCGAATTTCAATTTAGAGACTAGATCATTAATAAAAATTAAAAAGAGAATTGGAGCCAAATGGGACCTTTGGGGGGCGCCTGACAGACCTCCGAAAAGTTTCGACATGACCCCTTTGATTTTAACGATCTGATGTCAACCTGTAAGGGACGATTCGAACCAGTTCAGCAGGTGTTTATTGAGGAGGAAATTCTGCAGTTAGTTAATTAGCAGTTTATGGTTAACATTATCAAAAGCCTTGGAAAAGTATGTATAAACTGCGTCCACCTGACAGGAAGCATCAAGAGCTCTAGAAATGAAATCATGATATACAGCTAAATTGGAGACAGTAGATCGACCTGATACAAAGCCATGCTGTTCGTGACATATTTTATCTCCAACAGCATTGATAAGCATGTCAGCAATAATCTTATCAAATAATTTGGGAATAGAACTAATGATGGAAATTGGTCTACAGGGTGATCCAAAAGTCCCTTCCACCCCCTCTTACTTTTTACCTAATTGAGGTAAAGATTTGAAACTTGGGGGATATTCCTAGGTCAAAGGGAGCTATTTTTTGGCCCCCCTAAAATTTTCAGGGGGCCCCCCTTAGGGGGGCAACGGCCCCCAACTTTTAATTTTCAAATGGGAAGACCCCCTTTGTGATAGCTCGTTCGAAAGAGCATAAAAAAAGAAAACTTTTCGCGCAAATCCGAAGTCAATATCTCAAACCGTCTCAAAATGGCGGCCGGTTAAAGTTCAAAATGGCCGAAAATTCACACCGGTTATTTGTCGATGGATTTGCGCGAAAATCGGTATGTTGGGGTATTTTGACACGAGAAAAACGAATTTGACGTTAGATTTTCAAAAAAACCAAAATTTCCAAAATGGCCGCCGGTTAAAGTTCAAAATGACAAAAAATTGATTTTTTTAGAAATGTAAGTTCAAATTTGTTTATCTTATGCCAAAATACTCTCAAATTCCAAGTCTTAGGCAAATCCATCCGGAAAAAACCGAGGTGACAATTTTCGGCCATTTTAAACTTTAACCGTCGGCAATTTTGGAAATTTTGGTTTTTTTGAAAATCTAACGTCAAATTCGTTTTTCTCGTGTCAAAATACCCCTACGTACCGATTTTCGCGCAAATCCATCAACAAATAACCGGTGTGAATTTTCGGCCATTTTGAACTTTAACCGGCCGCCATTTTGAAACGGTTTGAGATATTGACTTCGGGTTTGCGCAAAAAGTTTTCTTTTTTTATGCTCTTTCGAACGAGCTATCACAAAGGGGGTCTTCCCATTTGAAAATTAAAAGTTGGGGGCCGTTGCCCCCCTAAGGGGGGCCCCCCTGAAAATTTTAGGGGGGCCAAAAAGTAGCTCCCTTTGACCTAGGAATATCCCCCAAGTTTCAAATCTTTACCTCAATTAGGTAAAAAGTTAGAGGGGGTGGAAGGGACTTTTGGATCACCCTGTATAGTTCTTAACATCATGCTTATTTCCGGACTTATGGAGAGGAGCAATGAAGGAAATCTTCCAGGAGGATGGAAATATCCCTGATGACAAGGATTCGTTAAAGAGGGTAATTAGAGGTTTTGGAAGAACGCTGCTACAATTTAATAAAAGCAGTGGGTGGACACCATCTGGGCCCACACAACCATTCGGCTTAAGCGAGCAAATGGCATTGCGCACAATCTCCTCTGAGATCTCCGGAGAGTCGAGTAGTTCCTCAGTTTCATCATGGGAATTAGAAACGGAGGGATGAGAGAGGGAGTCAGGGCGGTAAGTGGAGCTAAAGAAATCGGCAAAAAGATTAGCAGCAGCTAACTCAGAGTCGGACCTATTGCCATTAAAACTAACAACATCAGGGATGGATTCTGAATTATTAAATTTATTAACATAAGACCAGAAAGCTCAGATGTGTTACTCCTGCAGTTTGACTCCACTTCAGTGATATAGGACTTGTACAGCTCCCGAGACTTCAGAATACATTGCGCTCTCAACTTTCTAAACTAGATGTAGTCCTGGGAGTCTCCCGAGGCTTTCCACAACGAATGGTAAAATCTTTATCTTGGATCAATTTGATTAATTCTGCATTATACCATTCAGGATAGTTTGAAAAGGGTTGCTTACACGAACTAGGGACTAATCTAGATATAATATCATCCTTGAGACACCTTTTGTCATCCTTTGTTCATAACTTGAGAAATTTCTACCCTTAAGGTGACTTTGCTGTCCCGCTTAAAGCAATCATTTCGTCCAGTGCATGTTGGCGCTAACGTCAAAATGTTTACTTCATGCCAAATTTAGTAACACTGGAGTAGGACAGTGTGTTATTTTATTTCAATTCTCTTGTACAATCTAGCTTTCTGCACGCACTTCAAAACTTTTCTAGTTATAAAATGCAAGGTCATTACTCGCTGCGTGTCCAAGATTTCCGTGTTTACCTCATTCTTCCAGATAGTACCTGCCAAAATATCACCTTTGATGGTGTTTATTCGTTACCTTAATTCAATAATTCATTACTGATATGACTATTTGTAGGTCACCTTGAATAACTGCCAAGTCACCTTAGCGGTTGAAAGTTTTCCGAATAGCGGTTAAAAAGTCATCGAGTAAAGTTACCTTAGCGGTACTTCGAAGATTTTTTAGTCAGAATGATTAGAAAAGGAGGAAGGATTTTGGCACTATACATTTTTTATTGCGAGTCATTAACTTACATGCTTAGAATGGTTACATGCTGAAGGCCTTTTCCGCCTCTCAGAGCCATCTCTAGAGCAATAGAACAAATAGGAGTAGAGTAGAAAAGAAAAACTGCATGCTGGTATCAAACAGATGAACAAGCAAAAGAAAAAGAAAGTTTAACTAAATGTATAAGTGACAGATGAAACAAATTAGCACACAAATCACAGTGGCCAATGCACAATCAGTAAATACATGTGCCAAAAAAAGAGAAAAAAAGTATTTAGTTCCAAGATTCTTCTTCTTTTTCTAATTATGTTAGCATATGGTACTACTCTGCCGAAAATGTTCGAATATATTCTAGTTAGGGATACGGTGCCGACAAATAATGTTTTATTGACGGTGCGGTGCTGACGAATAATGGCAACGTTTTTTTTAAAGTACATTTTCAACATGATAATATGAAACATTTATCATTTTATGGTTACTACCAATAAATATGTGACTCCTTTTTACTCATTCAGTAATAAAACCTTAAAAGTTGCTCTGGTGGGTAGGTTTCTGTAGATCCTATCATGAAAAACTACAAATTATACCCCGATGAGGCACACTCCTAAGCAATACATGATAGAGGGTGATGCCTACAGTACCTTCAGAGGGAAAGAATCAAGGTCGATAGACCCAGGTCAGTCTATTAGCGGGATGTTCTTTGGAATAATCCGATCTCGCAACGAAATCCCCCGAATCGCTGGTTCACTACTTCCAAAATGT